CAAAAAGTTCGAACTTTCAACTTTTAATTTTGACATATTTGTCAACTTCATAAAAAATCCTTTAAAATGAGTCCAAACTCGACATATTTAACTTTAATATTAATGGAGATACAATCACTTCCGGTTTGAAACGTCAATTTTAACATATTTGTCATCTTCATTAAAAAACCTTTAACATGAGTCCAAAGATGATGCAGTTATCTCAAAAAACAAAAAAGGTAGAATAAAAAACGTTAAACACGAAGTTAGCAACAATGAAGATAGCAATTTAATTTTTAAATATTAATACCAACCCTAATTTTTTATTTTTTTAATTATATTTTTGTTTTTGTGATAAATTTTAAGACATTTTATAAAAATTAAGAATTTTTCAAAATGATATTGACATTTCAAACCGGAAGTTGCTTATATCTCGACTAATATTGGAATTAAACGTATCATGTTTGGGCTCATTTTAAAGGATTTTTCACGACAATTACAAATATGTCAAAATTGACGTTGACATTTCTAACCGGAAGTTGACCGTAACTTCATTAATATTGAAGATAAATATGTCGTGTTTGTACTCATTTTAAAGGATTTTTAATGAAGATTACAAATATGTCAAAATTGAGGTTGACATTGTAAACCTGAAGTTAGTTATCATCTAATAGACAACTTCATAGTGTTGTTTCATGATGTATTCTTTATTAAATACCTTTAAAATAAGTCCAAACATGATTCATTTATCTCAAAAAACCAAAAAGTTCAAATTTTCAACTTTTAATTTTGACATATTTGTCAACTTCATAAAAGAATCCTTTAAAATGAGTGCAAAGATGACGCACTTATCTCAAAAAACAAAAAAGTTAGAATAAAAAACATTAAACCCGAAGTTAGCAACAATAAAGATAGCAATTTAATTTTTAAATATTAGTACCAACCTTAATTTTTTATTTTTCTTTTATTATATTTTTGTTATTGTTATAAATTTTAAGACATTTTATAAAAATTAAGAATTTGTCAAAACGACATTGACATTTCAAACCGGAAGTTGCTTATATCTCGACTAATATTGGAATTAAACGTATCGTGTTTGGGCTCATTTTAAAGGATTTTTCACGACAATAACAAATATGTCAAAATTGACAACTCTAACCGGAAGTTGACCGAAAGGCCGCGTTTATATTGGCGAGCGATTAGCGATGAGCGTTGAGCGGTGAGCGATGAGCGTTGTATTTAAAAATTCAAGTACCTGCAAATGCAACAGTGGTGTGTATATTAAACCAATGCGATGAGCGGTAACGCTAAGCAGTGGATGTGCGTTACATTTGCATTCAAGACGACTTGAATTATGAAGTGCAAACAAAACCGGTACTATGGAATGATCAACACTCAGATTACAAAAAAACGGAGATAACAAGAAAGTTATGGGGAGATGTTGGCACATATATTGGATTATAAGGTTAGTCAAAAAACATTTAAATGTACAAGTATACACATATATTTTTTTGTCGTTCAAAAATCTACAAAGTAATTTGCAAAAGATTCTCGTATCTGTTTCGCTCGTGCTGAACTTCTACAAGCTCCTCCGTGTCCTTGTTGAGGAGGTGGCAACCATTCTGTTTCACGCTGATTTTCTGGAAAATAATGTACCACCTCTTGACAGTAATGTAAGTCACTATTGCCATCTCGATGTCTCACAATATTATGTAAAATACACGTACATTTTACTATATTTGCCGCTTTTTCTGGGCTAACTTCGATATCCTTGCCCAAGATACGCCATTTAGCACATAGTATGCCAAAAGCACATTCAATACATTTTCTAGCTATTGACAAGCGATTATTGAAGTTTTCTTTGACGGGATCGAGATTTCTGGAAGGATATGGTCTCATCAAATAAGTCTTCAACGGATATGCCTCGTCACCAATTAAAACATGAGGTACTTTAATGTTTGTACCAAATAGTTCTCTGTCTGGCGGCATATTAAATACCTTATTTTCAAGTAGATTAAAGAGTTGCGAAGATGAAAATATTCCGCCATCACTTTGCTTTCCTCTGGCGCCAACCTCGATTGTGATAAATTTTTTGTCAGCATCAGCTACTNGTCAACTTCATAAAAAATCCTTTAAAATGAGTCCAAACTCGATATATTTAACTTTAATATTAATGGAGATACAATCACTTCCGGTTTGAAACGTCAATTTTAACATATTTGTCATCTTCATTAAAAAACCTTTAAAATGAGTCCAAAGATGACGCAGTTATCTCAAAAAACAAAAAAGTTAGAATAAAAAACATTAAACCCGAAGTTAGCAACAACGAAGATACCAATTTAGTTTTTAAATGTTAATACCAACCTTAATTTTTTATTTTTTTTATTACATTTTTGTTTTTATGACAAATATTAAGACATTTTATAAAAATTGAGAATATGTCAAAATGACATTGACATTTCAAACCGGAACTTGCTTATATCTCGAATAATATTGGAATTAAACGTATCATGTTTGGACTCATTTTAAAGGATTTTTCACGACAATTACAAATATGTCAAAATTGACGTTGACATTTCTAACCGGAAGTTGACCGTAACTTCATTAATATTGAAGATAAATACGTCGTGTTTGTACTCATTTTAAAGGATTTTTAATGAAGGTTACAAATATGTCAAAATTGAGGTTAACATTTTAAACCTGAAGTTAGTTATCATATAATAGACAAATGAACAACTTCATTGTACTTTTTCATGATGTATTCTTTATTAAAAAACCTTTAAAATGAGTCCAAACATGATGCATTTTTCTCAAAAAACCAAAAAGTTCGAACTTTCAACTATTAACTTCAACTTTTAAAATGAGTCCAAAGTCGACATATTTAACTTTGACATTAATGTAGATTCAATCACTTCCGGTTTGAAACGTCAATAACAATTTTGACATATTTGTCATCTTCATTAAATAACCTTTAAAATGAGTCCAAAGATGACGCAGTTATCTCAAAAAACAAAAAAGTTAGAATAAAAAACGTTAAACCCGAAGTTAGCAACAAAGAAGATAGCAATTTAATTTTTAAATATTAATACCAACCTTAATTTTTTATTTTTTTTATTTTATTTTTGTTTTTGTGATAAATTTTAAGACATTTTATAAAAATTAAGAATTTGTCAAAGTAACATTGATATTTCAAACCGGAAGTTGCCTATATCTCGACTAATATTGGAATTAAACATATCATGTTTGGGCTCATTTTAAAGGATTTTTAATGAAAATTACAACTATTTCAAAATTGAGGTTGACATTTTAAACCCGAAGTTAGTTATCATTAGGGCACGGAACTTTTGTAACAGAACGATACGATTTCCCCCCTCCACTTGTTCTCATTGGCTAGTTTTCAGGATTTGTTTTTTAGGAAGCCACTGAGAACAAGTGGAGGGGGAAATCGTATCCTTTTGTTACAAAAGTTCCGTGCCTTAGTTATCATATAATGGACAACTTCATGGTGTTCTTTTATAATGTATTCTTTATTAGAAAAAAAAACATTAAAATGAGTCTAAACATGATGTTGCTAGATATCACTATGTTGTATATCTTTATTGCACTAAAACTAGAACTAACACTAGACCTAGAACTAGTGTTAGTTCTAGTTTTAATTGTTACTAAGCGTTAAATTGTTGTCTGTTTTTATTGAAATAGAACTAATATTAGTTGTTAGTAATATTAAGTTTGTTATCTTTTAACATAACTCGACCGAGTTTGGGCTCGTTTTAAAGAGAATTTAATATAAATTACGAATACGATGTTGGTTTAATTAAATTCTGTCAAAATAAAGACAAAATGACGGATAATTCAATGAAAAATGATACGATTTGAACGAAATTAAGTTCGCGGGGGACTTTTAAGTATAAATATAGAATTTCGCTATTATTTAATTAAAATTATTAATCAAGACGGCGGAAAATTTCAAATAATATTAATTTGACGTTTATAAAGTGAGGTTAGGTTTTTTATTTATTCACGATCGTGTGGGGAATTAAAAATGCTTCAAATTGAGTCCANTATGTCAAAATTGAGGTTGACATTGTAAACCTGAAGTTAATTATCATCTAATATATATCATCAAACATGATTCATTTATCTCAAAAAACCAAAAAGTTCAAATTTTCAACTTTTAATTTTGACATATTTGTCAACTTCATAAAAAATCCTTTAAAATGAGTACAAACTCGACATATTTAACTTTAATATTAATGGAGATACAATCACTTCCGGTTTGAAACGTCAATTTTAATATATTTGTCATCTTCATTAAAAAACCTTTAAAATGAGTCCAAAGATGACGCACTTATCTCAAAAAACGAAAAAGTTAGAATAAAAAACATTAAACCCGAAGTTAGTAACAACGAAGATACCAATTTAGTTTTTAAATGTTAATACCAACCTTAATTTTTTTTTATTTTTTTTATTACATTTTTGTTTTTATGACAAATATTAAGACATTTTATAAAAATTGAAAATATGTCAAAATGACATTGACATTTCAAACCGGAACTTGCTTATATCTCGAATAATATTGGAATTAAACGTATCAGGTTTGGGCTCATTTTAAAGGATTTTTCACGACAATTACAAATATATCAAAATTGACGTTGACATTTCTAACCGGAAGTTGACCGTAACTTCATTAATATTGAAGATAATTATGTCGTGTTTGTACTCATTTTAAAGGATTTTTAATGAAGATTACATATATGTCAAAATTGAGATTGACATTTTAAACCCGAAGTTAGTTATCATATAATGGACAAATAGACAACTTCATGGTGTTCTTTTATAATGTATTCTTTATTTAAAAAACTAACACTAGACCTAGAACTAGTGTTAGTTATCTTTTAAGATAACTCGACCGAGTTTGGGCTCGTTTTTAATATAAATTACGAATACTATGTTGGTTTAATTAAATTCTGTCAAAATAAAGACAAAATGGCGGATAATTCAATGAAAAATGGTACGATTTGAACGAAATTAAGTTCGCGGGCGACTTTTAAGTAAAAATATAGAATTTCGCTATTATTTAATTAAAATTATTAATCAAGATGGCGGAAAATATCAAATAATATTAATTTGACGTTTATAAAGTGAGGTTAGGTTTTTTATTTATTCACGATCGTGTGGGGAATTAAAAATGCTTCAAATTGAGTCCAAACCAAACTCGACTCGATTATCTCAAGAAACACCCGCGATATCCCACATTTAATTTTGACATAACCTCAAAAAAGTGACAATCAGAAGTTTGTTATCTTTTAAGATAACCCCATCGAGTTTGGGCTCGTTTTAAAGAGAATTTAATGTAGATTAAGAATACGATGTTGGTTTAATTAAATTCTGTCAAAATAAAGACAAAATGGCGGATAATTCAATGAAAAATGATACGATTTCTTTTAATTTGAAAATTTTTGAAAAAAATTGTTTATTAAGAAAATTTAACTAATAACATGAATCTAGAAATCCGAGATCGTCAAGTACCTCGAATTTCGAACACTAAATATAGAACTAGAAAGTTTTGGATGTAGCCGATTTATTATTTATAACAAACATTATAAAATAACTGAAATGCAATAAGTTTTTTAATGTAAATTAATCAAATATTTCTTAAGAATTTCAATGAAATTGTTTTTAAACAAAATTTAAACCATTTAATTTAATTAAAATGACAGAATTAAGAATTGAGGAAACGGCGTAAAATTGGTTGCCTACATCTTTAAATTTTAAACAATTTTTTATTATTTATAAAAACAACATAATGTAGTGACTAAAATACAATAAATTTTTTAATGTAAATTAATCAAATATTTTTTAAGAATTTCAATGAAATTGTTTATAAACAAAATTTAAACCATTTAATTTAATTAAAATGACAGAATTAAGCGACGTTAAATTGGTTGCCTACATCGTTAAATTAGAAATTTTTTTTTATAATTTATTTATAACAAATAATTATAATATTTATTTGCTTTCTAATTTTAATGAAATTGTTTGTAAACAAAATTTAAACCATTCAATTTAATTAAAATGACAGAATTAAGAGTTGAGGTAGCGACGTTAGATTGGTTGCCTACATCGTTAAATTAGAAACTTTTTTTTATAATTTATTTATAACAAATAATTAAAATATTTATTTGCTTTCTAATTTTAACGAAATTGTTTGTAAACAAAATTTAAACCATTTAATTTAATCAAAATGACAGAATTAAGCATTGATGAAGCGGCGTAAAATTGGTTGCCTACATCTTTAAATTATAAAAAAGAAAATTATTATTTATAACAAACAACGTTATAAAATAACTAAAATGCCTACTTACTTCCTAATTTTAATGAAATTGTTTGTAAGCAAAATTTAAACCATTTAATTTAATTATAATGAAAATATTTAGCGTTAAATTAGCAACGTTAAATTGGTTGCCTACATCGGTAAATTAGAAACATTTTTTTTATAATTTATTTATAACAAATAACTAAAATACTTACTTACTTATTAAAGGAATTTATTAATAATATGGAATTAATACCGTTACAGAAATTAATTTTATTATTATTATTACCCAATTTTCGAAATGTCTCAATTACTTAAATTGACTAATTCAATGTAACCATTTGATTCACTCCATATTTCTTCAGTCCGATTAATAATGTTGAAACGTTTAAACCTGGACAGCACGAAAAGTTTAAAATTATTATCGCCAATTCTTTTTCTTTTAGGATTGGGAAATTTAAACGTTTTAAACAAAAAATTAACAACATTTTATTCAATTTACATCGCAATTTTAACGACGACCATAACGACAATAAACGTTAAATTATTTTCGTTTAAACAAACGTATTACATAAAAATGCCTTTCTCGCACGTTTTAATTGATATCTTAGTAAACGCATTCTTGTTCATTTTAGCAACAATTGCGATTTTAAAGTTAACGTTTTTGAAACAGCACAAATTAAAAACGTTGTTGAACGTTTTATTTGAAGTGGATGAAATGTTTTCGAAGCACTTAAACGTTATTGATAGCAATAAAAAGGTTTTAACTGGATTTGTTATAACGAATTTGGGTTATTTGATTATTTTTGGAATTAATATTTATTTTTGGGGGACAAATAGCCCAACGAGAGTGGTTTATTATTATTCGGTGGAGTATTTTTTAAAGTACCACGTCTTTTGTGTGTTTATTTTAATGATTAATATAATGATTGCGATTTTTAATCGGCTTAAAACCATCAATTTAATCATTTCGAACATTTCAAACACATCAACAACAAAACATACCGAGATAATAAAAGATTTAAGACAAATTTTTACTCAACTTTGTGATTGTATCGATATCTTCAACGATATTTTTGGATTGTATTTATTGATTTTTGTATTTTACACACTTTCGAGTGCTTTATCATCATCGATACAGCTCATACGATTCTCAAATCCATACAATGTATTTAAACAAAGAACAAACACGTCTTTGTTATTAACTGGAGTTGTTTTATGGACTTTAGTTACAGTTGTAAGTGAACGAGTTTGATTAAATTGTGTTAAATTAATTCGATTTTAGCACATCGCAGCGCTTATAATTAAAATCGCTGATGACACGTCAAGAGAATCGAAGAAAATAACATCTCTTTGCTACAAATTAAGCAAAAAAACTCGTTTTTATGATAAAAATGATTTGAAAACTGAGCTTGTTGTTTTTGCCAAACAAGCTTATAGAAGTGTAACTAGCTATAACACGGCTGGGTTTTTTATTTTAGATAATTCAATATTTTTTAAGTTTTTAAACATGTACATTTCTTATTTAATCATTTTGATACAATTTAAAAAAAATTTAAACCATTTAAGTGACAGAAATTAAGCGTTGATGTCAAATGGGTTGCCTACATCTTTAAATTATAAACAATTTTTTTATTATTTATAACAAAATATTATAATCAAATTAAATTAATTAAATATTTCTTAACTATAAAGTTGTTTTTAAGCAAAATTTAAACTATTTAATTTAATTAAAATGATAAACGTTGACAAAACGACGTTAAATTGGTTGCCTACACCGTTAAAAAATAAGAATTTATTTATACTTAATTTATTTAATAACATAAAATACTTACTTACTTACAAATTTCAATGAAATTGTTTTTAAACAAAATTTAAACAATTTAATTTAACTAAAATGATAAAATTAAGCAGTGACATAATGACGTAAAATTGGTTACTTACACTTACATCATTAAATTAGAAACATTTCCTTATAATTTATTTATAACAAATAACTAAAACAAGTTATTTACTTTCTAATTTTAATGAAATTGTTTATAAACAAAATTTAAGCCATTTCATTTCATTAAAATGACAGATTTAAGCATTGACGCAAGGGCGTAAAATTGGTTGCCTACATCTTTAAATTCTTAAAAAATTTTTTATTATTTATAACAAACAACATTACAATGTAATTAAAATGCAATACATTTTTTAATGTAAATAAATCAAATATTCTTTAAGAATTTTAATAAATTGTTTATAAACAAAATTTAAACTATAAATTTAATTAAAATGACAGAATTAAGCATTGACGTAGCGATGATAAATTGGTTGCCTATATCGTTAAATTACCACGTTTCTTTTATAATTTATTTATAATAAATAACTAAAATACTTATTTACTTAGTAATTTCAATGAAATTGTTTATAGACAAAATTAAAACCATTTAATTTAATGAAAATGACAGAATTAGGCATTCAGGAAACGGCGTAAAATTGGTTGCCTACACTTTTAAATTATAAATAATTTTTATTATTTATAACAAACAACATTATATAATAACTAAAATGCAATAAATTTTTTAATGTAAATTAACCAAATATTTCTTAAGAATTTCAATTAAATTGTTTTTAAACAAAATTTAAACCTACATCCTTATGTTAGAAACATTTTTTTTATAATTTGTTTATAACAAATAACTAAAATACTTATTTACTTACTAATTTGAATGAAATTGTTTATAAACAAAATTTAAACCATTTAATTTAATTAAAATAGCAAAATGAACCATTGAGGAAGCGGCGTAAAATTGGTTGCCTACATCTTTAAATTATAATTTTTTTTTTATTATTTATAACAATCAACGTTATAAAATAACTAAAATGCAATAATTTTTCATTTTAAATTAATCAAATATTTCTTAAGAATTTCAATGAATTTGTTTTTAATCCAAATTTAAACCATTTAAGATAATAATTAAAATGAAGAAATTAAGCGTTGACGTACGACGTTAAATTGGTTGCCTAAATCGTTAAATTAGAAACATTCTTTTTTATAATTTATTTATAACAAATCACTAAAATACTTATTTACTTTCTAATTTTAATGAAATTCTTTGTAAACAAAATTTAAACCATTTTATTTAATTACAATGACAGAATTAAGCATTGAGAAAGCGGCGTAAAATTGGTTGCCTACAAATTATACAACATTATAAAATAACTTAAATACAATAAATTTTTTAATGTAAATTAATCAAATATTTCATAAAAATTTTAATTAAATTGTTTTTAAATGAAATATAAACCGTTTAATTTATTTAAAATCAAAAAAAATTAAGCGTTGACGTTGGGGTGTTAAATTGGTTGCCTACATCCTTAAATTAGAAACATATTTTTTTATAATTTATTTATAACAAATAACTAAAATACTTATTTACTTACTAATTTGAATGAAATTGCTTATAAACAAAATTTAAACCATTTAATTTAATTAAAATGGCAGAAAATTGGTTGCGTACATCTTTAAATTATTAACCATTTTTTTATTATTTATAACAAACAACATTATAAAATAACTAAAATATAATGCATTTTTTAATATGAATTAGTTAAATATTTCTTAAGAATTTTAATGAAATTGTTTTTAAACCATAAATTCAATTAAAATGACAGAATTAACCATTGTGGAAGTGGCGTTAAATTGGTTGCCTATATCTTTAAATTATTAACAATTTTTTTAGAAGTGTTATTTATAGCAAACAACATTATAAAATAACCAAAAGAACTTCAATTAAATTGTTTTTAAACCAAATTTAAACCATTTAAGGTAATTAAAATGACAGAATTAAGCATTGAGGACACGTCGTAAAATTGGTTGCCTACATCTTTAAATTATAAACAATTTTTTTTAATAATTTATTTATAACAAATAACTAAAATATTTATTTACTAATATAATATACTTATTAACTAATACTTATTTACTTACAAAATTCAATGAAATTGTTTTTAATCAATTTCTTTTAAAATAAATGTATAATGTAACAAAGAAAGATGAGGTAATAAAGTAAACGAAATCGTCGTTATCTAAAGTACTAATAACGAAGATTAATAGGACAAATTCACCACAAATAAATCACTTATCATCGTCACTCCTAGTTTTCGTGCGATTATGGAGCAGCTAAAAGTGCCCCTTTGCCCCCTTTACACCTTAAAAAACGGTTTAAATCATCATTTCGGGGATAAAGAACCATGGCAAATTGTCGCCGTTACAACATCTTCCGTTTTAGCCGGTGTTTGGATTTATAATTTCATTTTTGATGACGAATGTAAGAAAAAAAGTATTAATCTTATCGAAAAATAAAAAAAATTAGGTTATGTTGCCCAAATGAGAAATGGCGTGTTAGGGTATTTAATTATTTTTAGATTGGTAGTAAATTTAAATAATATTTTATTAATTAAAAATCTTTTTTATGTTTTAGGTGTTATTACAAGAACGAAAAAAGCTTTCTTTAGGTTAGCAAAGAAAATTCCTGCGATTAAATCACGCCTTGATAAAGAAATAACTAAGGTAAGAGAAGATTTCCAAGAAGAAGTGAGAAGCCGAACTGGTCATTTAGACTACTTAATCGCGCTCCCTGATTCCGGGTGGTCCACAGAAAGTATTATTTCAAAGGTTGAGGGTGATTTAAAATTGGGGAATTACGATTGGAGGAATGGAAAAGTATCGGGGGCTGTTTATGTAAATAATTCGGATATTAATCAACTTGTGACTGAAATTTATGGCCGTACGGCTTTCACAAATCCTTTACATCCGGATATTTTCCCTGGAATAAGTAAAATTGAAGCGGAGGTTATTAAAATGGTTGGGAAATTATTGCATGGGGGTCCTGAAGTTTGTGGATCGGTAAAAATTTAGATTCTAAAAAAAATTTGTATTAAAACTAATTTATTTCATTTTTAAGATGACGAATGGTGGAACTGAATCAATTTTAATGGCTTGTAAGGCATATAGAGATTACGCCCGGGAAGTTAAAGGGATTAAAAACCCGGAAATCGTTGTACCCGTTTCGATACATAGTGCTTTCGATAAAGCCTCCCAATACTTTGGATTTCGGGTTAAATCGATTCCTTTAGATCCCGTTACTTATAAAGTTGATATAAAAGCCATGAAAAGAGCGATTAGTAGGAACACAATTATGGTGAATTAAAAATAAAATTACACATAACCTCAATTTATTTATTTTTTTTCGTTTTAGTTAGCTGGATCAGCTCCTAATTATCCGTATGGTACAATAGATGATTTAGCTGCTATTTCTGAGTTGGGTTTAAAATACAACATTCCTGTTCATGTCGATAGTTGTTTAGGGGGATTTTTAACCATGTTTATGCCGGATGCTGGATGTCCTGTTCCGATTTGTGATTTTCGACTTGAAGGGGTTACCAGTATTTCTGCTGATACTCATAAATATGGATACGCACCGAAAGGAACTAGCGTTGTGCTTTATCGAGACATCAAGTAAATCTTTTTTTATTACCCTTTCACTGCTTTTTCGGTTTTAGATTTTGAGATATGACAATTTTCGTTTTTTTAAGCTGAAACAACCACTGATTATTCGCTTATTAATTTCGTTATTTTTTCTGATTACAAAAATATAGGGTCTATTTCTTATTGTTTTAGAATAAAGCTAAAAATAAACTTCTTTTTAGTGTCGTCGAAAAAATTAAATTTACAGTTTCCTGTAAATTATAACTAAAAATTAAAAAAACATATTTCTTCAATCCAAAATAATGCAATCCATTAAATATATCCGTATTAACAGTTAGTGTAATAAATATAATTATTTGTTTTTAAATACCCGGTAATTTAAATATCCGCTCCGTAATTTACAGGAAACTGTAAATTTCATTTCTTCGAGTAGATTTCGGCGGCGCGGCGTTTAAAAATTTTATAAGTTTATTTTTAGATTTATTCTAAAACAATAAGAAATAGACCTGTCGAACCGTATATTTTTATAATAAGAAAAAAATAACGATTTTAATAAACGAATAATCAGTGGTTGTTTTCATTAAAAAAAAACGAATATTGTCGTAATATCTAAAAAATCTAAAACCGAAAAAATTTCCTCCATATAATGTGTTAGTTATAATACTCGGCGGCTTTTTAACGGCGAAAACCGCATATCAATATCTCTTACGGTTGCAGAGATACAGAGTGTTTTGATTTGTGTTTCTGGTTATAGAAGGAGCGTTCAACAACGCAATACCACAATCTCTTGAAAGAGCTGCTCTTGACAGGGGAGTGGAAGCAACTATAGCGGGTTGGATCCGCAATATGCTTGATAGTAGTTCTACAAGTAGTATTAGTATTCTGGCACCAATTTGTAGTCTATTGGTAGCAGTACCTAGCCTTGTATAAAGAATATCTATCTTTTTAAGCAGTTTCTAGTATTGTATAGGTAGTATTTGTCTTCCGCGAGGAATTTTTGGTCTTCTATATGAAGTATTTAGTCTTCTGCAAGTAGTATTAGTATTCTAGAACCAATTCCTTGGCTATTGGTAGCAGTACCTAGCCTTCCATAGACAATATTTATCTTTTGCAAACAGTTTATAGTATTGTATAGGTAGTATTTATCTTCCGCACGGAGTTTTTAGTCTTTTGTCGGCAATATTTAGTCTTCTACAAGTAGTATTGGTATTCTGCAACCAATTTGTAGCAGTACTTAGGTTTCTATAGACAATATCTATCTTTTTAAGCAGATAGATATTGTTATACAGCATTTTCAACTTAAATCAAAATTTGACATAAACAATGCATTTGTTTTATCGAAACGCCGTCAAAGCTCACTATTATCAGTGCAAAATTTAAGGCCCCTCGAGATCGATATCTTGGTAACCGCTCGATGGAAAAAATTGCGGTAAAGTTTATCGTAATCAGTGAACATTTCTGCATATCACATGTTAATTTGGAAATTTTATTATCCAAGGTTTTTCTTTTATCTCGAGTTAAGTGAAAAAAGTACCCGATTTTTGAGAGTGCCAGCAACTTTGTCTACTTTGCGATTTTTTTTCTCCAAAACTATTTGATGAAAAAATCAGATGGTGCGTCCCAGACAGTACGTCGCGCCTTTATCTTACCTACATAAAGAAATAAGGCAAGAAATAAATTTTGAATGTGATTAAAAATATTTATGGCCTTTTGGATGATGGTTTTTTGACTTAGCGGCATGTTGCGTTCGATTTCATTATAAATCCAAATGCAAAGACGTTTTTCCATTTCTTTTAAAATATTGCTTCTTGATCGAGTTATCTTTGCTGCACTAGACGATGTGGTAGTAGTTGCTGACAACTTAATTTTGTCTTTGTTTTTTAAAATGGTTCTTATTGTAAAAGTAGATAAATTTAAATCATTTTCAATGTCAACTTGACGTTCATCGTTTTCCAATCGCCTCAGCGCCTGCATTTTAATATCGAGCGAAACGCTTTTTCATGTTATTTTCACTCATTTATACAAACTTAAAAAAATAAGGATTAAATTTAAATAAACAAATTTTTATTTGATTTTCTTACACAATAATCTCTATTATTACTACATAAACTAATTACGTTTTACGCAGAACGTGAAAGTGTTGAACACTCTTTAATAGCTTACAAATACGGTAAATACGTAATCGTTATTTAGCCCCATTTTTTAGCACTACTTCGAAGATTTGTTTTCTAAATGTTCATATAACTTTTGTTTTCGCCTTTAAAGATTTTATTTTTAAAAACTACTTTAAATCGAAAATTAAGTTATTTGTATGTATGTAGTTTCACGTGGGGGTGAGTTACTCACAGCACTTAGGCCCCAGCGGACCCTTTGTACGTCCCCACAGTTTACTGTTCATTCAAGGGTCAGAAAACCAGCCCAATCTTTTCATGAACGTTAATATAGAACAGAAAGGTATGTTCCTTATATCCGAAATTTGGAGCCATGGTACTCCGAAAATAGATTCCCTTAAGTACACGAGGTTTGGACAGTCACAAACAATATGACTTACCGTCTCGTCTTCCATTTCACACCCTCTACAGAGGGGTGTATTCGCCAGCTTCATGTAAAACATGTGCTTACGTAACCTGCAGTGTCCGGTCAGGAAGTGGGTGAGAAGCCTCAAGTCACTTTTCGATTTTCCCAGAAACTGAGTAGATGTCTTCCGGTCAGGGTAGAGCAGAGTTTTCTTAGCAAAGGCACCTACTGCTGTCCCATCCCATCTATCGCAAAAAGCTCGGTGGGAGATGGAGTTTATCAGTTTTGATGCTGTATTAACAGCTAGTGGTACAAACGGTTCAGGGGAGATCGGTGACTTGTTAGCCGCCCGTTTCGCCAACCTGTCCGCATGATCATGTCCTTTAATTCCGATGTGTCCTTTTCGCCATTTTATCGTGACGTTGTTGTATACGTTTGCCTCTTCGAGTGATTGCCGACAGGACTTCACCAACGATGATGCAGTATGATGCCTGCCAACCGCCAGCATAGCCTGTCTGCTATCAGTACAGATTACAACGTTTCTGCCGACTTTTTTGGAGTCGATAATCGCATCGGCTGCTATGTTTATAGCAATTAATTCGGCTTGAGCAGTCGTGCAATACGATCCTAACGAAGTGGAAAGGTGCAGCTGGAGATCGTGCGAGAAGATTCCCGCTCCGGAACCTCCAGCCTTCTTTGATCCATCAGTGTAGATGGTCAGCGTTTTGCCCGAGCTTGAGTTGCTCTGGGGTATCGTTTCAATGCCAAAGTGTGGCTTGCCTAAGAAAGTAGGTGTAATGTAGTCTGTGCGAGCTTTAAGGAGGGGTTGTTTACTAACAGCCTCACTCCAGAGCTTGCTCCGGACTATTCCCATTTTAACAACCTGCTTTTCATTTACTGATCGCAACCGAAGCAATGCCATCACGGCCACCTCCCTGATAAAAATATCTAGGGGCAGCACGTTTAACATAGTCTCCATTGCAATCGTAGGTGTAGATCTCATAGCGCCTGTGATTAGCAGGCAGGCCAGTCGTTGCAAGTGATGCAGCAATGTAGCTTTATATGCATGTTTTAGTGCTGAGCACCAGACTATGGCTCCGTGAGCTACCATGGGTCTTATCACAGAAGTGTAGATCCACATTGTAACTTTCGGATTTAATCCCCAAGTATTGCCAATAGCCCTTCGGCACTGGGTCAGTACAATCGTTGCTTTTTTGATTTTGCAACTAATGTGTTGCACTTAATGTGAAAATTAAGTTATTTATTGTTTTAGAAAATGTTACAGAGTTAAAACCGACAGTATAACGTCTTACAGTTGAATGAATTTATTTCTTAAGGGCATAGATTTACCCTTTTATACTATTTTCTTTATCAATTCTGCTTCGTAAGCGGTTTTGATGGAATACTCCTATTGTTCTTCGTTTATCTCATATGTGCTGGCACATAACTTATATATAGGTTGTGATCCATGATTCCATCAATGAAATGCATATTTCCAACACCTTTCGAGCTCATACAGCCCCATACTAGCACAGAACCTTCTCCGTGTTTAAATGTAGGTATCGAGTTTTTCTTCCAGTTCTTTATTCTTTTGCTGCCATATCATTCGTCGCCCGTCGGATCCTTAAATGATAAGCTTACTCTCATCCGCAAATATTACTTTATTCCACAACTCATTTCTACTATTTTTATAGATTTTAGTAAATAATTTCTTTTTTGTTTATTAATTTTGCTTATAAATGGTTTCTTTCTGACAAGTCGACCATGATAACCAGCTGCAAACAGGACATTACGAATCGTATTTACGGAGATAGATTTTCCAAAATCAATTTTAACTTCAATAGCAATTTTTGTTGCACTTTTATTAGGAATTTATAATTTTGTTGACAACAACTCTCTTTTCTTTTCTTTTACAAATGAGCTTTTGAGGACGACCAGTTCTGACAGCGTTGTTGAAACAATTATTTCAAGCGAATCTATCAATAATACTTTTTACGGTCGAATACGACCTTTTTACACATTTACCAATATCTCGAATAGATTTACCTTCTTTACGTAGGCTTATAATAATTTTTCTAACTTCTTCATCTGAATTGCTTTCTGCTATTTGTAAAGTTCTTCGTCGGTATAATAATTTTTTGACATTTTTATTTCAAATCTACAACTTTCTTGTAAAGAAAACACACATTTACTCTAACCGCACATTGAAACAATACGTATGGCTTGAGCAAACGAAGGTGCCAAATTTTCTTTGCGTAAAAACACGTTTTGAGCGTGTGTCTAAAGCAGTGAAACGATTAATAACTCACTAATGTTTTTGAATTAATTCAAGATATATTCATCATCAATATACCGTAACTACAGACTGGCCTGGAGGTGTTTATGGGTCCCCAACGATGTGTGGATCAAGAGCAGGGGGAAACATAGCGGTTTGTTGGGCTACAATGTTAAAAATGGGGATGGAAGGTTATGTTACGGCTACAAGGAATGTTATACATACAGCGAGATACATTGAGAAACGGTTAATTTTTATTAATATTTTTTAATTAACTTAATTATTTATTTTGTCCACGACTATCTTATAATATATACCTTATGAATGAGTTTGCTAAAACGAAACTTAACAGACTAATAATAATTATTTGAAACGTCAAAATTTCAAAAAACGTCAATTTAATTCAATTTTTTAGGAGTTTCTAAATGTTTGATATTAAACAAACCTAAACAAATTCCTTTTTTCGTATGATTTAAGCATAAATTAATTAATTTTCGTAAAAAAAACGACGTTTTATAAAATTGACATTTAATTTTGACAAATTGCTGTGAAGTTGGTTACAGTTAGTAACATAGAATTTGTGTCACATTGACGTTTAAACTTTATTCAAAAATTTATTTAAAAAATAAATTTGTCCACGACTACCTTATAATCAGGACACGGAACAGTGTCCTGAAGTAATTCTAAACAAATTTTGTTAACGAAATTTTTTGATTAAATCAACAATAAGGATATAACCTCAAAAATATTAATTTTTGTA